CCAGGAGAGGGCTCAGATTTGTGCTTTACAGACAGCACAAAAATGTGATGTTTTTCTAAACAAAAATGTGCAAAGTAAATACAGAGAAAGTTGTACGGCAACACCCTGAATTATTGAACGGCCAGCTATGCAGAACAAACATAATTAAAGGGTCTCATTATCTTCTAAATAATCATTGTAAATAATGCTTTAGATAATTACTTCATTAGTTCTCAAAACACTGGCTTTTATTCTCCTCTGAGATTCTAACCACTATCTCTACTCTGAATAAATTGCCAAAAGGGAAAATCAAAAGCAGAGCAAGGATGTGAGCTGGAAATGTAATGTGTGTTTGTTATATGAACTGATTTAAACCCAGGATGTTTTGAAACATTTTTTGGGGTTTTTTTTGCAATGTTCAGATGGTTAAAAGCAGTTTGTTTAGATTTTTTAATGTATGTATTTCTTTCTTCAGATTGCTTTCCCATGCAGTTAAGATTCCTTTGCTAGCAGCTGGATTTATCCATTTAAAGATGGTTCACAGCAGTGTGGATAGAACCAAGATTAGTCTCTATCATGGATGTCTGGCCTTACCTAAACTGCCATTTTTCTTTACTACAAATACCATGAGGTAGATTCAATAACAAATAAACTATGTCTCTAAAAGCCACAGCCTGAACAAAAGGAAAGCCAGAGACCAAGATAAGAAGTGGGCAGAAAATCTGAGACCCACAATTACATGGCTCAATAGCTGAGAATGCCTGCATTTGGAAAAGTGAGTCTTTTTTTTTCAACAGCGTTCTGTCAGTACTTCCAGTAATTAAAGCAATGGCATAAAAAAGACAAATATTTCCCTGGTCAGGTCCCAGGTCAATCTGAAGCACTGCAGAAGGCTGAGCCTTACCAGTCATGGTATTTTAAAAGTCTGTTAAAGTCTATTAAAGAAATTAAGTGGCAAGAGGAAAACAGTAAATGTGCAGAGCGAGTCAGCAATCAGCCCATCCCTGAGACAGAAGGGGCACAGCAGACAGAGCAGCAACATTTGAAACTCTGGAAAGGGAATTAAGGTGATTCCTAAAATTTTGAAAAGGGGGATCAGCAGCAACCACAGACTGGAGAGAACTGAGACATGTTTTGTGAAAATGAATATTTTTGGAGTTTTTTGTGCTTGTGTTGTGCTTTTTCTTAAACTCACTCCACTACTAAGGTCACATCTTGCTTCAGCAGATGCCAAAGGTGCTACAATATTTGCTGTAAACGTGGAAGATTCAGATTTCCCTAAAATTTCAACTCATCTCTTTCCAAACTTCCAATTCTTCCCATGGATCAATAAGTCCTGCCAGCAGCCCCTTCCCACTCGTGGCTGCACAGGGATGTTCTGGTGATGTACCTGTGCCACTGCCTGTGATGGTTTAGGAGAAGAGGCCTTGCTGCAGCACCCAGCAGTTCCCAGAGTACCACTCTCCAAACTACTCCCCAAAGTTTCCCCTTTAGGAGAAAGCTCTCAGCACTCAGAGCAATGAGGCAAGAGACCTGCTTCTGTCTCAGCAGCTGTTGGGAATGAGATGTGCTCTCAAGCTTTAAGTTGATTTTCCAGAGGGGACTGGAGCTTAGTTACTCTCGCTAAACACGCTTCAGGTATCAGATCTTTTCCCTGGACTCGGGGCCAGATGGGTAGCTGTGCTTAAATCAGAAATCCCAGGGAATGACCTGGAAGAATAAAAGTGGAATTAACTGTGTTTTCTGAGAGCCTTTCCACCTCTAAACAAAATGCTTTTGTCTACCCCATTGCCAGCATTCAAAGGATTTGCTTTCCACTTTCTCAACATAAAACCTAGCGATAAATTAAAAACAAGCCAGGGTTTAGCCATGTTTTTAAAGGCCAGAACCTCTCCTGACCAGCTGTTCTGGAACAGGGACAGAACACAAATCAACCTGCCAAGTCAGTGGATATTCTGGCCAACACACAACACCTCCATTCTGGCCAAATTCCTGGAGGTGTGTGTGAAATACTACTGGAAAACCCTCATGAAAGCCTCTGCAGGGAGAAATGCTGATTAAGATGATGAAACCAAATTGTTCAGAAGATGAACTGTGATGGAAATAACATTACTGCAGACCTCAGAATGAATGGGACTAATAGCAAAGGGGTTGGTAACTTCTGACTGCGTCACTGATGGAGGATTACAGCTAATGAGGAAAACCTCCCTCCTGCATCCCTGTTCCCACAGGACAGGGCATCTCTCACTCCCAGGCTGCTTCAGCTGCTGGAGTGCAAAGCTGCAACAGCAGTTTCTCTTCTTCTGTGGGAGTTATTGTCACTTTTAATGAGGAACCAAATTTAGACCTCATTTACAACAGTGGGTGTAACTCCTGACTGCAAAGTTAGTCTACGTGCTATACATGCTCCAAAGTTTTAACAGTGAAAGAAAATGTGCAGAAAATTGAACTGTCAGTACCAGTTCTTTCAGTTGAACTTCCTTCCCTGAATCATTTCCCACATCTGCAAAGTGTAAGCAGTTTGCCACAATGGTGATGTGAATTCCTGTAAAGAACCTTGAAACCTGAGATTTTAGATCTGCCTTCACTGATTGACATCTACTACTGTACCACGCTCTAGATCAGAACTGTGCAACCCAACACTGCCAGATAGCTCTGAAAAAAATCCCAGCTGGGGCAGAGTAACTCACAGATCTTACAGTACTGTGCAGGCAGTTTTCATTCCTCTGGCTAAAATAATCTCAAAATAAAATTATTTCAAATAAAAGGAAGATGGGAAAACATCAATCTCATTTAAATTTCTGGACAACAATGACATGGATGAACTTTGGAGTTTCCCAGGAGTATTTCTTTGCACACAGCAAAGGCAAAGAGTGTCTTGGAAGCTGCAAAGGGCACCTGAGCACACACACTGTGCTCTGCCACAAGGATCCTCTGTGACCTCAGACAAGTCATTTCAGTGACTTGGACAAAACAGGGCTTAATATTCCCATTCCACAGCCAAACAGAGCAGCTCTGTCATAGCCCTGATGAGGGTTTGAGTCTACAGTGACCTACAAATGGGAGTAAGTAAGGCCTTGGACAGGCTTTCAAATAGTTGCCATTCTTTCACTTCTACTTCACAGTATCTGACTGGGCAAAGATGCATTTCAGGGGCTTTGAGCTGACTCATAAAGAGTAACTGCTGTCTGGGTACCTGTTGGGAAATATCACAGCCAGTCACCCCTGCCTCTTGTCTAATGATCAGATATTCTACATTTAGTCCAGAATATACCCTTCAAAATAACCATTTATATCCCTCAGTGAACACAAATGTGTCCCACCAACAGGGCAGGGAAAACAAAATTCTTCTCAAGGCTGGGTTCTTTCCTTAAGAAGTTTTAGACTAGCAAAATGTTATTTTGTTTGATGGACTTCCTGTAGAAAAACAATTCCATTCATCCACAGAGGATTAAGAGATACTGTTCTACTATCTGAACCACCATGACAGAAAAAGTGTGTTTTGTTGGTTTCTTTCAAAAATATTTATACCTAGAAGGTAATCAAAATCAAAGGTGTTTCATTCTGTGATGTAGTTACACAAACAGCACCTCTGTCCAGTTACACTCTCTAAACTGAGTTGCATTAAACTCAGTTTAATGTTGCCCAGCTCAGTTTACCTTGAATTGACAGTACCTGGCATGGGCTGACCCAACCAAGTGTCACGTTAAAAGCTGGATACAGGGAATATAATTTTGTATGCAAAATAATCCTTGTTTTCTTCCTCCTCACAAAGTCTGCTGCATATTGTCAGCTCTTTGCATCATAACTCAGCCATTTTCTAGGAACTGTTCCCTCTTGAACACCAAAATCCTTCTCTCCCCTATTTGCAGTCAAATGGCTTGAAATGCAAAGAGCAGCCACTGCTCCTTCCAACACAGAAACACAAGGATTTTATCATTACTTACCATCTCTAGTTACTGCCCTTTGTAAATCCCTTTATTCCAAAGTATTTTCGCTCTTCAGTACTTGTTCCAAGTGCTTGTGAAATGCTGTTTCCACTCCCAAATGCTCACTGTAGGTGCCCTGTGCTGGCAGCAGGACCTCCCACGTGTGGGACAGAGGTGGCTGTGGTGGCACCACGGCCCCGAGCAGCCAAGTCTGCTCCTGCCAGCCCCCCCTGAGCCACCCCACAGGTGCAGAGGCTGCAGCACAGGGACAGTGCCATGGCTATTTTCAGAGCTGGCATATGAGCCACATGAACACATCACATCAAATTTAACACTGGGTAACCCAAGGCTTTAAACCCCCATTCACATCCCATCCATCCCTCCCTAAAAAAAACCCCACAACCAAACCCCACATTCAAACTGTTCTCTCAAAACCACTTTTTTTCTAATTTATTTTTAAATAATTGTTATAGAGAAAAGTATCCTTCCTCGTAGGCAGCAGCTCCCTCATTCCCTTTGTCTTTTAAATTTATCTTCTAAATTTATTCATTAAAACTCAGGTAGTGCTTTGCTAAACAAATCCTCCTTTGCCTAAAACTTTTCTGTTTTACACTACAGAGGCAGAATCAAAAATCTGAAACAGTTTTAGCTGATTCTCTAACATTCTGCCTTTGTTTCTACTGACAGATAGTCATTAATAGGTCGTTTTTCTAAGTGCTTTGGTATTAACCCTGCTGCAAACCCTCACTGCTGTTGGACTGTTACAGAAGTTATAACAACTTATTTTTGTATGAAAAGAGCACTGACTGAAATGAAACCCTGGGCATTTCTTACCTCAACATTTCCCTGGAAACGCCTCCCCCATGGGCATAGTTTAAATTAATAAATCCCATTATTTTCTTCATCATTACCTCTGTGTGTACTCAGCTCATCTCTACACCTTTCTTGGTAAGAAGTTTCAGGAAACCCACTGCCTTTAACCATTGTTTGACAGGTGTCACTGCAAAAACATCCCAGCCTGATTCAAACACTCCCTGGGAACATTCACAAGGGTCACAGTAAAATCCTTAATATAAAAATAGACACGAGATACTCGCTTAGATGAATTTATTAGTGCATAGGTTAGAGATTTACTCCCCTCCAAGAAGATTTCACATTCTCCTGTGAAAAACAAAGTTGTGTTTTGTTTTAAAACAAACTCATTGAGGCAGCTGTACAACAAGTAGCCTATTCAAATTTCTGGTCTTGATGGGCAAATTACTGCATTATAAAGAAAAACAAAAAATACAATATAACAGGACTGATTTCTCCCCTCTATGTAATTTGTGTATCTGTATAAATAATATATACTGATAAAAACCTAGAAAACTACAGAATAAAAAATATATTTACCTAGAACAAGTACTAAGGCAACCAATCTTTCCTTACTTTGCTTGTAAACTTCCTCACAAACATCAGTGAGTGTTCTGGATTTAGAGGTAAAAGAAATTTGTTCATTAATGAAGCCAAATTTTTCAAGCGACTTCTTTATGGCTGACTTGCAAAAGGACCAATAATAGTATTTTTTGTTGGTTTTTAAACGTTTGACATCTGAATAACTCCAGCACATTCACAGTATATTTGGACAGCAAAGCAGGAATATTCATACATACAATATAAATTGTAAACTTTGCTGAATTTCATGAAGTCAAACTGAATTCTAGTTTACAGAGTAACTTTGATCTCAGACACTTCCAATAAAATGCAAGTTGAAGGATTCTAACCTTGCAGGACCAAGTCACTGCAGTTCAGATCAGAGCTGAGTATCTGAAAACATCAACGAGTGTGGTTTCAGACTGTGCTTAAAAAGGCACAGATCATCCTTTCCTATATTTACACTGTAAGAGAATTAGATCTACATATCTACATGGATATGCTTCAACAACGAGGAGTCACAAAGGCAAGTTACAAATATTTTACACACACACAAAAAAAAAAATACAAAAATAACCTGTAACATTAAATGCAGTTATTTGGGTACATTTGAAGTATTTCAAGTCACGCAAGCTAGGATTACAACAGGCATGTATACACTAAAACACTTCATATATGTTATATATACAGACATTTCATAACAAGTCAGTGTCTTAGTTTGTATTATGCTGCAGATTTTCTGAAGGAGTTCATCCTCCTGTGCCATGTTCATACATCAGCATTAGCAAAGGCTCGAAACAAGAAAACTTGATTTGGCTTTATAATGTAATTTTTGTCATATTCATATGAACAATAAGGCTGAACTGATCCATCAGCTTCCTTTGCTCAAGTGCAAATTCAGTGTGCTTCACTGCAGTCTTCCTTTGCCAGAAATGTTCCAACTAACTTTTTATTAAATAGGAAGGAAATATTTAAAGCAATTTATCTTGAAGAAAAAAATTAATAAACTGCCAAGTGTAAAAAAGCTTTTTTTTTTTTCTTCTCGGGTGTAATGCACTAAGCAGACAGTTAAATAAGTCTTTTCAGGTTAAAATATTTTAGCACTTGTTGGAGAAGAAAATATTTAAGCATAAAGTTTATATAGGTTAAGGTGACTAAATAATTAATAAAGACAAGGCTATATCTCATAAAAATGTTCACAAGAGTACTAACAAAGGCAGCACCAGCAAGGTACTAAATTCATGATTAGAATTATGTTAGCAATAGGAAAAAAGCAAAACAGTCAAAAACTCAATTGTCTCTCAACTCCCTATTTAAACTATAACACTGAGATATGAAAAAAAACCTAAATTACTCTAGTTCAAAACAATTAAGAGCAAGTGTCAGTCTTACAAACCTAGTTTCTGATGAAAATCCATACACATCCTAATACATTCTGATCTTTGTTTATGAGTAAACATTAAGAGTGATTTTGCTTTCATTTTGAGCCATTAGTGACAGGTCATCATCACGGAACAGTGTAAGGCATCATTTCTGGTCAAGGTTTGGTTTTACTAAAGATATATTTTGGAGTTGCTGAAGGTTCATAACTCTTGGAATGTGCTTGCTAGGACAGTGTTGTTGCAAGGATAATTCCAAGTATCAAAAGCAATACAGTTACACATATAATGATGAACATCAATTTCTGCAAGAAAAAGAGAGAGAGAGTCGAGATTGAAACACTTTGTTTAAATAAATGCAGAGCCACAGAAAATTAGTTGGATTTTCTTTCCAGAGATTAATCACTGCTAGGATTTCCTGCTGGTCTTTGTTTTCTAACACACATGTAACCATAGCCACAAGACAGAGTGTAAGGTGCCTGTATTTTGCTTCCCAGGGTAATTTTTATGACTCGTGCCCAACTTCTGTAAATACCATGACGTACAGAAACAGATGTAGGTCAAGTCTTAGTACAGAAACTGCTCACTGCCACCCTCCCTGGATAAACATTTGCAGCCTGCCCAGACCTTTACACCTGCACACTCACTGGAGTTCAGGACAATGTCAGTAAGAACATTCTGTGGGTAACAGCTCAAAGAGCTGCAAGGGGAAAAAAAAACCAAAAGAGGTGGTCCTGTGTGAATGCATCAAAATGTGACATTAGATCTGATATTTCTGACTAAAAGCAATGACACAGTAAAGTCTGTTCTCTGCCCATGAACCAGAGCTGAGAAGAATCCATAACACCAAACCTCAAAGTCTGATATTCAAAGAGTGTTAGTACAGAAACCTGAATTCCTGACAAGCTCTCTGAACTGACACCCCTTGGAGCACTTAGTATAGAGCAGGAAGATAATACATACAAAAAGCTGGATTGCAAAGAGTTAATTGCTACTTAGTTAATTCTACTTAGCCTGCCTAGGTGTTGACAAGAAATGGTAGATTAGTACAGCAAATACCTGAAGACTGAAAAAAGCCTCATTTTTGTCCTAGGATTCCAGCTGCAATCTCTGCAGACTTCCTTTTATGAACACATTGTTACTTCCCACTGTTTCATTTAGTCTGGTATTAATAAACAGCTTCAAAGTAAGTCATTTTAGGATGTTCTGGAAGGCATAAAAGCCAACTTCCTGGTTGCAGACACTTCTTTTTTTAAAAGCTCTGCTTAAAACTAAAGAAAACCCCATCTGATAAAGTTCCAAGTGTTAACTAGCATTCCATATCTTAGTGCAGATTGTTTGCTAACGTGAACTTTTTGTATAAAAAAAAAGAAACTCAAAGGAATGGGAGACAATAATTGGCTTTTTGGTCTCATCTGCTCCTGTTCCTGAGTCAGGCAGTGACTTTCTGTGCATTGAGCAGTTCACCACTAGATGTCAGTTGGCAATATCCACGTGCATGGAGCTGTTAGAGGACACAGAGGGAAGATCCAGCAATGCAGCTCCATCCCTCCACCCCCCCCCCAGCAATAACTGCACAGATATTAAGGGTTAATAGAACAATACAGAGAAAACAAGAGCAAAATTAGTTGATTAGTTACTTACTGCCACAGTGGCAGGAAGACATGCATGCTGAGGTTATCCAACCATCACCGAATACCAACAGACAAACCAATAATTAGAGCAATTATGGCAACCAACACCACTGACACAATGATAATTATCCACATTTTCTGTCAAAAAACAAGGTATTGTTAATATTAAGCACATTTAGACATGCATTTATTCTCAGTTCTTTTAAATTGTTTTTAGATTCACAACCACTTTTATTAAAGCCTGCAGTATTTCCAAGTTGAGATAAATTTATGTGTGTAGTCTTGCATACATAAGAATAAACATTTTTAAACAGTGTTTACATGTAAACTAGCGTGATAATGTCTATACAGTCAAAGATGGTACAGTCACCATTTACAAACACATTAAATGGGCTTTTTGACACTTCTTAAACAATCTTTTGTAAATACAACAGGTGTGTTCTCTCTGTGTAGGTATCTATCAATAAAGATGTACTATTCCCTCAAATCCAGCTCACCATAAAAAACCTCACAAAATTGCACAGCTTCTCAAAAGGGGAACTGATAATGTAAAAACAAACTCCTTAGTTTGATTTCAGAGTATATTATTTGGTGTCTGATGGGAAGGAAGACACCTGGACACAAGACAAGTGCCACGGAAAACACCTGAACGTTACTCTGAACTCAAACCCTCCACAACTTCAGTGTTGTGGTAAAATGTCACTCCCTTTCCAGAGGGAAGATCCTCCTAATTCATCTGTAAAATGAATAATTACAGAGAGGATTCTAAAAAAGCCTGCTTCACCACACCACTTATGGAGATTTCATACCTGTAAATCCAGGTAAGTTTGTTGATGATAAAAAAATCCAAAACCTTTTAAGCTTATTTAGAATCTGAATAATTTAAAGTATTAATTCTTCTTTTGGGGTTTTTACATATGACAACTTTTTGTGAAAAAACCTGTGAACACACCCTTAGCTGTGCATGAATTGCTTATCTGTTTTCATAGTACAAGAAGCTTCTGTCCCCTACTGGTAATATAATTTTTTAATATTAGCTATGACAAATTTGTTCACTTTGGAAATGTTTTGATTTCTTCCAGTTTGAGGCGGTGGGGTGTTTGTTTGCTTGTAAAGTCCTTTGTTAAGTCTTTTTCTGCAATACAGTAATTCATAACAACATTTTCTTATCTAATTTTAAAAAGCACAACTGCAAACAAGGAAAATGCACATATTAATTCTACCTTGAAGGAGTGAATACAGCAACAAAAGTTCAACTAAAATTGAAGGTCACTTCATTCTGTGCTAAGTTAAAATACTGACTAGAACAACTAAGAAAGACAACATACCCTTCGTGCTTTACTTTGATATTTAACTGCCTTTTTTGTCTCTTCTTTTGCATGTTCCACATAATCTGTTGCATTCATCACGTTCTTCTCTATGTTGTTGATCATTTCACCCTTAAAATGAAATTTCAAAGAAAAAAAATCTATTATTGGAATCCATGGATCCTTGTTTAATGAAAAGCAATTACTTTCAGCAAGGGAACGATGCACATTTTAGTGGGTGATGTCTTTTCTGCTTTGATATGTAAAGGGAAAAGGGAATGAGAAGCAAGGACTCACAGTTCTCACCAAACAAGGAACATTCATGGGCAGGGCAGGCACATTCCCTTTTGCAGGAATAAGTACTGAACACCTGAAAACATACCTTTGTGTGTGAGGTATGTTTTAACAGCCCAAACTAAATAGAGATGGGAAATCCCTGATGTGTCTGCAAGTGGGGAAGGATAATTGACTATTTTAACACAAGGTTCAACAGTTATCCAAGGAAACACACACATAGGAGTTCCTCAGAATGGAGGGATGTCAATACATTACAAATTCAAATTAACTATGGTGAATGAAATTTGGCAATGAAATGGAGGATTGGTGAAAAATGACAGTTAAGTCTGTTACCTGTGTTTCTGTCCCCCAGAAGAAATAATCAGCAGCAGTAAACAGCAAAGCATTAAAGAATGATGCACAAGGAACTTTTGGTCATTTCTAATTCAAAAGAAAACTGCTACCAATTTCTCTTGGCTGTATATGTAATATCAAAACAACACAGGACTTGTAGAGTAAAAACCAATTAAAAAAATAGTCCTTTTCAGGAAAGTTTATTTCCTAACATTATTCTGTTCAGTTTCCTGCATGAGTCAAACAATTTTAAGAGCAGAAACAAAAAATATTTTTGTTGGGTAACTGGTATGTAAAGACTACAAACAGAACAAATTTATATACATGTCAAGACAAAGTTTATGAACAAAAGAGATGACTTGAAGGACTTGTCAAGCCCTTCACATTCATGAGTCAGAGCAGTAACTGTACTCTGTATTAAGTTGCTAACACACATGTTATTCTACCACAGTAGTTCTTTACCATGTCTGAGAATCCTCAATTCCCAAGGTGTTAGCCAACATTCCAGGACAGAGTTGTTCTTATTTAAACATGCACAAAAATGTTCAAGTATATTGCAATTAAGCATGGTGAAGAAAATGTTATATATGCCAACTGTGGTCAGTTATTGAAAGCATATCCTACAAGCACAGAGATGGTAAGCTTCTTTAAAACAAAACAAAAACCCTCCTGTGATTAACTTTTCTATATTCTAATCACAGCCAAAAACACTCTAAGTCTGCACTATCTGAACATAAGCAACTGCTCCTGCACGTTGCAAAGAGGAAGACTGAGGAAAAAAGCCACCACTTACATAAAGGTGTTTGAATTGGTTCATTTACCTGAGTCTCAACAAACATTGCCATGTCCATAAACATTTCATGAAGTTCCTTTATGCTGGATTCCAGTTTCATAATATCCTTGTGACGGGACTCGATCTCATTCAGAGCTTGCCTGGTTATTTGAGAGTCTGATATAATCTTTGGGAGGATGGACAAAGATAAGGACACAAGTAAGGACCTGCTGACACACTCCTAAAGAGCAGGAGCAGTAGAATAGAAGAGAGACATAGCTGGAGCAGAAATACATACATCAGAAGTGAAAATGGAAGGATTACCACTCTCTAACATTTCTTCCAGTTCCTCATCAGTGGTGGTCTTTCCAGCTAGGATAAAAACAACAGGACTTCACATAACATCACTGGTTCAGTGTGGAACACAACATTTTACCATTCTGGAAGGATGACAATTCAAAGACAATTCTTGTTTCGAGCATTTTGCAGGATAAAACGTTGTAGTGGTCAGCCATTACCAAGGGCCATTTTGCATAGAATAAAACCCACAAAGTATCAAGTGATAGTCAGAAAACAAACACAGATTCAAAGCCACCATGAAGAATTCCTGATCATGGAGTGGTTTTGCTTGCTTGCTTGGTTAGTTAGTTTTGGGTTTTTTTGTCAAATTGAAGGGTTTGATCAGAAATATTTACAAGGTACATATGAACCTTCTGAAGTGGAGTGTTCTTCAGAAGGAAGAACTTGAGATACTTGAGAGTATTTATAAAACATTCAATATTTACCTATTCAGTCATGTCCCACTCACACCCCACCACTGTGTGGGCAATAAAATCTTTACGTAAATTTGATTTTCCCAACACAGGATTCCATCCATATTCCACACAGAGAAGATGATAACCCACAGTGCCCCTTCACTTCTGCTTTTCATAGTACAAGTAACCATTCATGTAATTTATTACTGCATGTTTAAGCAAACTGAATCCTGTTGATCACACTGGTACCACAAATGAAAGTGTTATGAGTTACACAACACATTCAAGTGATTTGTATTGTACAGTTTTAAAAATTCCATATCAAAGCCCTGTTCTTCCAATGTAAAATAAGCTGAATATCTGTACCAACTTATATAATTCTGTCCTATCAGGAGAGAGCTACAGTTTGAGTATTACTTTCTGATGTTAATACCCAAGAATGCTGCAAAATCTGCTTTAAAATTTTTAGTGCTTAAGAAAAGCTGAAGGCTCTAATTGGGTCATAACAACTTGAACTTAAAAGAACTGAGGTATTAGTGTCCCTCCCCTCACACATATAGCAAAAAACAACTTAACTTGCCTAATAAACTTTACTGAAATGCTGAATTGGACCATTAGCATTAGAGACTAATGACCAATTTGAGAAGCATGTGAAAAGCAAAGTCTTCTTATAATTTGCCAGTTGCTGTTTCCATTCCCTATTTCAGCAATGTACATATTTGCTCCTACAGGAGACATTAAAAAGGGTCAACTTTAGGTACAAGATGAAACAGAGATTTTCAGACACCTTCCAAGGCAGATGTAGAGGTCAGATGCTCTGAACTCTGTAGTTCAGAGTAGAGTCAGGAGCCTTCTAAACACTCATCCTAATAATCAACATTCATACATGAGTCAGGCAACAGATGATCAGAGCACATATAACAGCAGCACTGATTTTATGCCAGCTGAATTTAAAAAGTGTCCCTGTAGAAGCATGTTAATTTTGGAATGGCTTTTAATAACACTTGCTGTTTCAGAATGCAGCTTTTCTTAACGCTTCATTTAAAGTCGCAACACTGGAAATAAATGAAGCAAAGGAAAAAGATAATTTTTTGAATAGTTTTTACGATTTAGTGAGTTTTCTCTATTTTCTTTACAGCTGTTCTGAAGAGTAATATCAACGAGTTTATGCCACACACTAAAATCGTTTCTTCTCTCTCACATGCTCCCAGATGATGTCCAAGCTGATGATGCTTTGCACCATCTTTTAATAACAAGAAACAAGAGAGGTACTAAGAATACAATTTTTATTTTTTTAAACAAGCATATTCAGGTCACTTACTGATCTCTAATTGCCTCTGTATCCGACATTTGCTGCGTTCTCGAAACAGAGTCTGGGTCTCGTTGTATTCCGTCATCACCTCCACAAACTTGTGAGCCAACACAGAGTGCTGGGCGTGAGGAGTTCAAAAGGTGGAAGAGAAACATTTATTTATTTTTTTTGATACAGCAAATAGCACTGCACAATAACTCAGAGTGGTGTTCACATTCCCCCAAAACAGAACAGGAAGTTCTGAAATTATTTCAGAAAAGTTATTCTCCAATTTACTCAAACCCTTCTATTTTCTTTAGTTTAAGAGCTCATACCTGTGTTTTCCTTATCCTGAGGTCCACTGATGTCCGATTGGCATTTTCACCCTGCTCAAAACTTTGTTCAATAGCTGAGAACAAGACAAGAATACTCTGAGTCCATGTTCAGTTATTTAACAGTGCAGTTCAATTACTTTGTAAATATTATTATTATTTTTTACACATACAAGTTCTCTACATGCCTAATATTTCAGGGGTGGCAGTGATACATATAAAATCTTAAAATAATTTTGATCATTGGTACAGATCTTTAAACACAGTAATTACTTCAACAGCCTCAACAGAGTAACACCACTATTATGCTGGAAAAATTTTAAAAGGTGTAGCAAAATGGGCTTTAAACAATAAACACCTATCCTGACTCATTGCAAGTGACAGCAGTTTTATTTGTGCTCACAACTCACCCTTTAGCCTGGCCCGGATTTTGTTAGCAATCTTCTTTATTTCCTCATTTAATTCTTCAAGTTCTTCCTTTGTTCCTTTAAAAAAGCAGTAATTTTTTTAAACTGTTTATGATTGATAACAGTAAGTCAGCAACCATTTTCAACTCTACCTTGCAACCTCATAGTTGTACTCAGAACAACCATGCAGAGCTGAAGTTTATTATAGTCTTAAGTACTTTAAATACCATTTTTGTAACAGCATACTATCAGGTTCCTGCTTCTTGTGACAGGCTTACACTTGGGAAATGTTATTACTAACTCATCAACTAAACCAGGTGATAAAATATTCCACAGTTTCTCTTAACACTTTCTGGGTAATATCTGTTTGTTAGTCAAAAATTAAATTTTACTGAGTTCTAAATACAAGTGAAAGTACAGATTCATCTCACCCTTTTTCTAAAAATTGTGTTGTTCATCATGTATTCATTGCTTTTACACTTAAGGTAACTGTACTATGTCTGACCTATGTGTTTTGAAGAATTCTGTACAGAGCATTCATGAAGAACTTAACTAGATCTCTGTCACTGGGCTTACTGAAGACACCAGAATCACAGGAACACACATTACTTACAAGAGCTGTCATGTTCCTATGCAATTCATATGCATTACTGATATATATAATTTTTAGCACAAACACAAGCTGACAAATGAGCTGAGACCACGGACTTTTAACATTTAGATGAACCCTTATTAAGCCTGAGATTCATTAACTATATACAACTGTTAAGACAAAAAGCAGCCCCCAAAATCACTTGTAAGAATACAAACACCCATCCAGAAACAGAGAAAATAGGGGGACAATAAAGAACTAACATCCAAAGCTCAGTTTTCATCGACGAGATGAAACAAGATGATAAATGTCAAGCCAGTCTTGCAACACTGAGGAAAAACATCTCAGCATCTTTTCTTCCCTTTTCTCTGAGCCCTGCCCAGATGCCCTGAGTTCACAAGGGTTGAGAACACAGAAGGTTCCATGTTTCTGGGCAAGTTCCCTAAACTTTTTCTGATCAGAAAGCACAAGTTCAATTCCAGCTTTGAGGTTAAAGCCTCTAAAACTAGGGTTCCTTAGAGGAACTCTTAACTGTGGCTGTGGTGGGAGACAGGACATTGTCCCTGCTGAAGAATAAAGAGAGTAAAAGAATAAAGCTCTGCAGTATAAGCTTCAGTGGCCAACTTCCACACTTCCACAAATACAAGAAGTGTAAGTAGCTTCTAAGTTTCTGAAGACAAAATCAAATTCAAGACACCGTATCAAACTGAGTTTTGAACTAGAAAAAGTGTGGATGAGGCAACAAATATTCTGAAAACGCATTTTTTCAAATGACACTTCAAAAAGGTAAAAATAAGCAAATGAAAGTATTAATTCAATATTAAAGATGGACATAGTTACTTAAATAGGGTTACCTTTCGCATTCTGAACACCTGAAGTTTTATTCCTACAAACAGCTAAACCAAACAAACAGTATTTCAGAATATCTAGCCACACATACACGAAATCTTAAAAATTTTTACTCACTTCCTTCAGGATTTGGTGCTGACAGGATAATGCTGTGCTGTTTCTTCACTTCTTCCACATTTTGTGCTATTTTTGCTATATTATTTCTAATTTCCTCAACCTGGAGGAAGAGAAATTTAGCAATGAAGACATCAGAATAAATCAGGGCAACATTTTTTTTAAACAAAAAATAATTGGTCATAAAAATCATAAATTATTTCATTGCAACATTTGTAAGTACATGACAGAAATCCCAGTAATGTTGATATTTAAAAAGTTTGTAATCTTACTTTTAAATAAAAAATGTAATTCTTAATAGCAAATATATTCTGTGTGGCCATAAACTTAAGTGCTAATATTCTTAATAAAAATATTTTAAAATTCTATTAGCAAACTCCTTTGTCAATAGGAGTTAAAAACACTTCTCTGCAATAAAGACAGAAAATACCCTGAAATAAGTAACAGAGAGTGTTACCAACATTTAATTTGGCAAACCATTACAAACCATACTGGAGAGTATGTGTAGAAGGGAATTGTTAAACCTAATTACAGAAATGGGAAGGCATAGAGAGAAAACATTAAATCTTCAATGCACTGTGAAAATTGTAACTTTACCTGCTGGAAAAAGTCATCCATGAAATGGTCTTTTTCAATAATAACTGTCTCCCCATCTTCATTTCCTTTATACTGTAAGAGACAACAAAATAAACCTATGAAATAAAACTCCAGATACTGTTCTGAAACAACTGCAACTTGTACCACATTGCTACACAAATGCACACACATTTTTGTCAGTAGCCTGCAAGGTCAAAAAAGTCTTCCACTGCTGCAGATTGTCATCTAAAAACAAATAAGAGAGGCCACAGAGAGTCACCTGACTACTACAGAGTTGTCAAAGAAATACAGAGAGAGGTGCTGAGAGCTGCCTTGTGATGTAATAACTACATATCTAACGACAGCCAGAGCAAAAAGCCATCACCAACTTACTACTTTTGCCCTGAGGTGTTTTCAAGGCTGCCATTCCACACCAATTTAGACATAATTACACTACACTAAACTATAAATGCATTGCATAATTGATAAAGCCTCGGAACAGCAGCTGACAGGCTCTCCCACACCTCCAGGGCACAAAGCCCAACAGCTCCCACAGTCACACCTCCCAAAGCCCTGAGCCAGCCCAGGGGAATCCAGGAATCTTAAGAGTAATGGAGAGTCAATTTTTGTCACAGGAAAACAGAGAATTAACAGGCATCAGGGAAAGGCAAAGAGCTCCAGCTTCTCTCTTCTCCAGTTCCCTTTGTAGAGCACAGACTGTCTGAACTGTGTTGAACCAAAATATTACTCAAACATACAGTCAAGGGGTTATCAGTTAGAAAAAAAACCCAAACTACAGGATAGGTATTATTGAGGGATTTTCATGTCCAAGACACCTTTCTAAGAACAAGGCCCTCTGCTTTGATCTTGTAACACCCACTCCCTGCTTCTAACCTCTGATCCTACTACCCAAAAAGCCCTTTGGTTCTGGTTTTGTTAAATTAGGTGAAATATATACTATTTGTGTGACAATTCTGCCATCTAATCCAACGTCAAACACTGCTATTATCTAATAAAGGAAGTTTTACTCAATTAAGATTTATGCATCAAAATATAAGAGTGCTCCAAATCTTCAAGGGAAGTTACTATACTTTGTGACAGTTCCTTTCCTGCAAATCCAGTGGATGCATAAAGCCCTCTGGCAATATGTTTGTCAGAAATCATCTGGGTTTTATACTAAGAGAAAACCACAATGCCCCAAGTGAAACACAGGAATGGAGCTGTCATTGCTCTCCTGAACCACCCTCCAACCACTCCTAGTGCTGTGTGTCACTAAAGACTTTGGGGAAATGATCACTAGAACTCAAATTATCTGTCCTTAGAGATTGTAATCAATGAACAGTCTTGCACAAATATGGAAGGAAGTCTGTGCCCAAATGAAGTCACTCAACTTTTTACCATGCTAGAGACTGCACTGCTACTAAGCTACCAGTTTAAAGTTAATATTTAAGAATGAGCTATGCTTTAAAGACATTTAATTTCATTACCTATGCAAAAGAACACTTTCTGTTTATATTTACTGAGTGAAAAATAACAAATTAAAAATTGTGAAAATAGCATCAGCTAAGAGACCTGGCATATCAGCTTTTAGTTTGATCAGATCTTATCAAAACATTTAACACCTGAGTGAATCCTAATCAAATGAAAGCTACAAAACTCTCCCTCAGAAGTCCTGTTTGGAGATGCTCCATCGGGATCACCCAACCCACTGTCAGTGCCACCTGTATTTCGCTTTCATATTTGGTTGCAGCGACACCACTGACAGATCAATTTGCTTCCTACAATTTGTTGAAGGATTTATGGGCAACCTACTTCAAACATCAGCACTTGAGACACCTGATGAGTTTGTCAGCCTCTGTTCTCTGTGTTCTTAAATCATCTTTTACCTAAAATACAGCTTATTTGCTCACTCTTCAACTGAAGTGATGTGCTCTTTTGACAAGCACACAACCAAGGACTCATGTTTATCACTGAGTTTAGCAGAAACATATTACTTCCCCCAGACTTCACCTCCCCAGTACAAACAGTATCACAAAAAACTGATAAAAAGTTTCACTCAATGCCAAGAGCAATCTAATAAAGTCTGTTTGCAGCTCATACCTTGACCTTGGGACTGAAGGGCTGGAACATACAACTCCATAAACTTTACAGAACTATAGATCGAGTTCCTCGGGAGTTGTTTGTGCTGGTTTTGCCTGGGACAGAGTTAACTTTCTTCACAGGAACTGGTATGGGCTGTGTTTTGGATTTGTGCTGGAACAGGGTTGATGACAGAGGGATGTTTCAGTTACTGCTGAGCTGAGCCTGGTCAAGGCCTTTTCTGCTCCTCACCCCACCTGTGAAGCCCGGGAGGCACAAGAAGCTGGGGGGGGACACAGGCAGGACAGCTGTCCCCAAGTGACCCAAGGGATATTCCAGACCACATGGCATCATGCTCAGTGTATAAAGCCAGGGGAAGAAGAAGGAAGGGGGGCACACCTTTGGCATTTTGTCTCCCTAAGTCCCCGTGAGGTGTGACAGAGCCCTGCTCTCCTGGGCATGGCTGAACACCTGCCTGCCCACTGGAAGTGGGGAATGAATTCCTTGTTTTCCTTTGCTTGTGTGCAGCTTTTTACCTTTCAAACTGCGTTTATCTCAACCCAGGAATTTTCCCCCGTTGCAATTCTGACCCCCATCCCAGTGGGATAAGTGAGGGAGAGGCCAAGGGAACAGCCATGTGCTGCTCCAGGTGCCAGCTGGGGTTAAACCACAACATCGGTTCACGTGACAGAACCCACATATTCCAACAGTATCACTTCTCAGCTCCAAGCAAATGCTGTCCTGAAAACTTTGTCCCTTCTAATACCTCACAGAATTGCAGAAATAAGCCTAGCTGGAGATATCTTAATAATTACTGACCTTTGAAACCAAAAACAGCTTTCGACTGAAAAACGTGACTACAACTTGCCCTTGAAATTCAAGGTTAGTCCTTTCTCAGTGCAGATCACGTGTATTCCTCTGGCAGGCTGCAAGGATAATAACTGCCCATTATCCCAGTGAAGCAGGCCCAAGGAGTACCTTACAGAGTTTAAGAGCTTCTCCTCACAGCATCAGCGTGTGCAGAAATCGTTTTGTATCAGAGCAGCCAAGGAGGGCTCACAGAGGGCCCAGGAGAGCTGTCAGGCAGCTCTGGCAGGTCAATCATTAACGTGCATTTAGCAGCATTATTGTACAACCAGGGAAACATCATATGGTAACCATCTACAATAAATCACTTCCCACTGTTAGGACGTGGAAGGCACACAGCTCATCTTCAGAAAATTCCATGTTTGAACAAAGTCTCACGTAAGAGGCTGACTCGGCGAAAAAGGACACGGTCGTGTTTTCCTCCTGCTGGAAAAGTTCATTGTGCATCTGTTTCCATACCACCCAATTCTAACAATTTTAACTCCTGTGACTTTGTTTTTCACTCATTCCTAAACAGTTTTGGGGGCACTAAGTGAATGTCCAAGAAATACTTTAGGAAAAAAATCAGTGCAGTTCTGTTCAAGTTATAGGTCCTAGTTTAAAAAAAAGCTACAGTCAAATATAAACATTTTTCCAAGATTAAATGTAAAATATCTTCATTAACACTCAAGAGCAAAGGAATATAAACCCCAAACTTCTTAAATGATTCACCAATCAAGCACAAAGAATGGATTTCAGTGGAGAGCTCTGCATCCACTTCAGCATCCAACAAGGAGGTAAGTTTTGAGCCATATGGACAGTGCACCCCGAACCTGAGATCTAAAACATCACACATGAGCAGAGGTTTACATCTTCTCCCTGTCTTAAAGGATTTAACAACAAAACCAAAAAAAGTATGAATGAGTTTTACAAACAGACCTTTAAAAGGACATCTGTTTTTAATACCTGACACAAGCTAAATGTGCTCATCTGGGTGTGTGAACACAGATTCTATGGCTCTTTTAAAGCTATTTCAAGATGGACTTGTTATCTGTGAACATCAAACCACTGAGGGAGAATATTTTGCAATCACAGTTATGTACTAGTCTTTTTTTTCCTTCCCTAAATATCTACTATAAACTACTGCTGAAAACAGTGTATTGGATCAGAGAGAACCTTTTAATCTTACACTTATTTGTGCTCAAAATAACTCAAACCAGTCTGGGATTTGATCAATTCTCTAAGTAATTGTATTAAATGACAATTGAAGCAGCTGCAAGACGTTCATTTTGGCCCGCTCAGAATAATTTATAAATGACATTAAAATAATCTCCTAAAGTTGAACAAATACAATTATGTTTGCTATCCTCTGAAAAAGCACGTACTTTGCAAAACTCCTTCTAGCTAAGAAATCAAGAGGAAGCAACATTATCTGAAGGCTACATAATCTGCATGTCCTCAACAATTTCTTTCTCCAGCAACTACTTGAGCACTGTTTACCTACCTAAATACAGCGTATTAAAAATATCAACATGTTAACTTCATGTTAATGAGCCACAAACACTGACAGGTAACATTTCTCCCTCTTCTTTATAAGGGGAAATCTGGGAAAAACTTACAACTTTGAATGACAAAATAGTTCGCTGGCTGTCCAAAAAAAAACCAAAAAAACAGGAGCACACAAACAAACACATGTTAAATTAACACATGTTAAATTAACATTTCTGCTAAAGAGGATGCTGTGCTCAGTTGAAACAGGTCAGTGTAGACTGACTACAGCACTGGGATCTCTTAAACAACCTGTTGGGGGAAATGGAGTGGATGGAACTTACAGGTAAGGCATGACCAAAGCAACATCTAATGAAATCCTTATATTAAAGGAAAGAGGCAAGGCACAGTTATTCCTGAAGATTTTGCAGGCCTAGGCCTGTTTGAAAACCACAATGTCTATGCTCTACTCTTCACTATTTCATTTAGCCAAATAAAATGCAATGAAACTGCACTGATCAAACTCGAGCAGTTCAGAAAATAGGCAAATACATGTTAATACATTATTTCTGACCACAGTGTTTAAAGTAGCTTGCTGCAGCAGTTAAAGCAGTAGTTTGCTGCTGTAGTTTTCAGATGTCAAACACTAAAGCTGGCCTACAACCTGTACGTACAGCTGCTTTAAACACTTCTAACAATATCAATGGGGGGGGAGTGTCAGGGCATGGAGTTGATTTTTTTAAATTAAAAACTCACACAACAGACCACTACTGCTTCCCCTCAGCCAGAATTAAGTGTACAGGTTTAGGATTATAAATTAAAAACTAAATTTGGATCACCATTTGTTCCTTCCTCTATCTGGAAGACAGTGCATCATTACTGAAATCTGGCACACATTCCTACAGCCTGGACTGTTTAGAAACAGGAGAAGGGAATGAGGACACCTGAAAGAAATGACACTTTTGGGGTTTTTTTGGCATGACTCCAAAACATCATTCCTGGTAGAGATACCGTAATTTAATCCTGCTAAAACTTTTCAGCTGCTAATTCATCCTTTCGGGAGAGGAAAACAAAGAGACTGCTAATCCCATCACTACAGATGGAGCTCCCAAGATGTATTTTGTGATCCGGAAGATATGACGTTACTCTTTAAAGTGAACGAGCCTTACATGCAGCTCAACACACGCCAACTTCTGCATGTATGTGGAGTCCTGGAACTATCACAGGAACTCCTGTGTGCTCTCCATTTCCATTTCTTTTCAGGAAAAGGAAAAAAAAAAGAAGCCAAATATCCTTTTATTTTACCCAGGCCATATCCTGTCGCAGACAGACTGACGGTACCTCCCCGTCACACTCAACTCTCCCTTCTTTTTTTAGGATACTGTTTCCAAAGCACAAATAAGGGAAAGGAAAAGCGCGTATAAACACGGCCAGCTACCATTTTGTAAACACGCGGAAAATAAACGCTGCCGAGAGCTCCGCTGACGCACCAGGGCCGAGCAGCTCCCGGGGGGACAAACCCACCCCGCGGCCCGAGAGCAGGGTGACCGCGGGGTCTGTCCGTCGGGGGGCTGTAAAACACCGGAGAAGGGATGGCGAAGGCAGCCGGGCCGCTCCAGCCACAGGACCGCCGGATCCCGCAAAAGCCCTCCCTGCCCGTTACCTCGGGCGGCCACTGCGGCGCCCCCCCCCGCGAAACCCTCCCCCGCTGCTTGCCTTCTCGCACGCTGCAGGCGCGTCCAGCCGGTCCATCCGCCGCGGCTCTCGGGTCCTGGCCGCCGCCGCCGTGCCCGGGGCCCCGTTCCCCGCCCCCCGCGCGCCCGCCGCCACCGCCCTCGGCCGCGCCGCCCGCGCCCAGCTTGGGGAAGAGGCGGCACCGCGCCCCCAGTGCGGCGGGGCGCGGCAACAACATTCTCCGGGCACCGCCTGGCGCGGGCGGGCGCGGCGGGGAGCGGGCACGCGGACACCGGGCACGGGCGGAGGTGCGGGTTGAGCCCTGCCCCTTCGTGTCCAGTTCTGGGGCCTCAGTTCAGGGAGGATGTTGAGGGCTGGAGCGTGCCAGAGAAGGGCGACGAGGCTGTGAGGGGACTGGAGCGCAGGTGCTGTTGAGGAGAGGCTGGCCTGAGGGAGCTGGGGGGGCTCAGCCTGGAGAGGAGGAGGCTCGGGGGAGACCTCCTCGCTCTCTACAACTCCCTGACAGGAGGGGGGAGCCAGGTGGGGGTCCGGCTCTGCTCCCAGGGAACCAGCAGTAGGACAAGAGGGCACAGTCTGTGTGAGGAGAGGTTTAGGCTGGAAGAAGTTCTTCAAAGAGATAGTGATCAGACATTGGAATGGGCTGACCAGGGTGGAGTCACCGTCCCTGGTCCCTGGAGGTGTTTAAGAAGAGACTGGATGTGGCACTCAGTGCCGTGGTCCAGTTGACAAGGTGGTGTTGGCTCAAAGGTTGGACTCTGTGATCTCAGAGGTCTTTTCCGACCTGGTTGATTCTGTGATTGCCGCAGAGATGTGGCAGAGCACTGCAACAGGCTGCCCAGGGAGGGCGAGGAGTCTCCTGCTCTGGTGATGCTCAAACCCCAGCTGGACACGTTGCGATGTCACCTGCCCCTGAGGACCCTTCCAACTCAAACTGTTCGTGATTCCGTGGATGTGTACGAGGAGAGATGAATCCTCGATGTGGGAGAGCTCAGGGGTCTGAACGGTGCCATGGGTGCCCCCCCAGAGGAGGCTACAGAGGGGATGAAGGGACTGGAGCATCTCTGTGACAAGGAAAGGCTGAGGGAGCTGGGGCTGTTCAGCCTTGAGAGGAGACACTGAGAGGGGACCTCACCCATGTCTGTCAGTGTCTGCAGGGAGGGGGCAGAGGATGGACCAGGCTCTGCTTGGGGGTGCCCAGCAGTGGGACAAGAGACAATGGGCACAAACTGATGCACAGGAAATTCCATCTGAATTTGAGGAAGAACTTATTTACTATGCAGTGACCACACACTGAACAGATGGCCCAGAGAGGCTGTGGAGTCTCCCCCACTGAAGATATTCCAGAACTGTGTGGACACAGACCTGTGCCACGTGCTCTGGGATGACCCTGCTTGAGCAGAGAGGTTGAACCAGTTGACACATTGGTCCCTTCCAACCTGACCCATTCTGAGATTCTGTGATATATAGACTTTATCTTCTAGACTACACATTCAACAAATTCTAAAAATGTTACTTTTGGAAACTGAGCATAATCCATGCATAATTTTCCTCATGTATTTAAAGCATTTCATTCCAGTGCTGGATAAGGAATTTAAAGATACCAAATTAGCAATGCAAGCTGTTTAAATGACAGTAAAATGCTGAAATTTTGCTTTCTGAAAAAAAATTAGATCTCCATATGTCTTTCATCATTGCCCTAGTAAATGCTTATTTTCTGAGAGTGTAGTTTCTTAATGAAACCCAGAGTCAAACATATTTTACTTGGTAAAAAAATGACTAAAGCTTGTCTTTTGAATACATATTTTGATTGAATCTTGCTGCTGTGTGACCCATTTTACCTATCTATACTGAAAATGGCTTATTTCCTTAGAGCAATTTCCTGTGTTGCCTTGAACCCCAAGTGTGTGGAACCTCTGTTCCTGCCGGAGCTTGGATTCCAGGGGCATTTCCGCAATCACTGCTTTAACTGGGAAGTACAATTATGCTCCTTTTCGTATGTTGTTTCCTTCATTTACAGTTCAAAAATTGTTTTCTTTCCTGCTAATGCAGCAGTTTTCTTCAAATATGCTGTTCAGCTCTGTGACTGTTTATCCCCAGTACCATCTCTTGTACCATTCCCCATCTGCACCTTCAAACACTTGGTACCTGCTGCTTTTTACTTTGTATGTTTACTTGTGTCACAGTTGCTGAGTTTGTTCACAGTTGACCTGAGTCAAGATATAGGACATGTAAAGACCTTTTAAGAGTAATTATTCTGCTGATTACCTCCTGATCTCATGGGCTCTAAGCTTTTAGATAGTGATCTAACTGCTGATGAGTGCCTGGAAATGAACACTTACTTATATGTGATGATAAAACATGATAAAAACTAAATTCCACATAGTAATGTACCTTTGTAACAACAAAATAAGTATTTGCCAGGAGCTCGAATGGGGAACTTTTTAATTATTCCAAATTAAGGTATTAGATAGTTTGCAGGGAAAAAGTAGTTCACTAATAAATTTGTAACAATATTGAGAAAATTCTGAAGTACAGTGAATGTTCTATACTCAGTTACAGATTGCTTTTTTCCCCCTCTGTGTTTGTATTCTTTAAATCTGCCAAACTCCACTAATGTGGCTCTATGGGCTCCTATTTATGAACACATGCCTATTTGTCAGGAAGAGAGGTGGAATTCACAAGGGTTTTATAAGGAAAGCATTGTGCTGAGAGAAATTTAAGATGAGTTACATATTCTGAAAAAATAATCCTGACACCTAGAGGCGCTCAGCAAAAATGCTAAAAACCACACAAACCCAACTCATCCCAAAAAGGGAAGGCAAATTCAACATGCTAGTGATTTTTCCAAGAAAATCTTATGCAACACTTGGCTAGGCATTACACTATCAAATAAAGCAAAAGTTACAGCACAGTTCAGCCACTCTTGTAAAACTTTGTTTGTATTTTGTGTCTATGTCTGTAGACAAATAACAAGAAATAAGCTATGTTTGTATATATCACCTGTCATGAAATATTTTCTATGTTAATTCCATTCAGAGATCCGTAAAAAAAAATATTCTATATTAGGGGGGGCACCAACAAATGTTATGCAGGCCACATAAAAGTAATTTCAGTACACTGGATTAAAAAAATCAGAGACCTTAAAAATCAGTGTGAACCCATGAACTTGGTATTTATAGACATATGCAAAACTACGATGTTCTTTGAAAGTCAGTTTTCAAACAACTTTGTTCCACTGAAGTTTGAAGAGAGTTTTGAGAGCTTAGAGAACTATTCTAAATCCAGGGCTTGCAAAACAACTTTTGCTTTCATTTGTGCCCTCTCTAGTGAAAGCATATCAGTTTATATGAAGAATGGAAAATAATGGTCACAAGGTGCATTGTTTGACCACAGCCCTTTTTACCTGAAAGTTCTTCAATTAAACTCTCCCGCTGTTAAAAACCACTTTATTAAACCACGCTGGAGGCAGTTTAGTAGTTCTTTTAAGTAACTACATGTCATATTTTAACTTTGTCTGCAGAGAGAGCATCACCAGCTGAGTGAAACACCTCCTGGTGTGATTTTGATGATTAAATAGGGAGGCGTCTGGGTTCCCTGAGCAGCTCAGCCTCAAACCTCCCCGGGATGCCAGGGGTGCCCTCACAGCCAGAGGCTGCCCTGCTGTCCAGGGAGGAGCTGCCAAGAAACCATTCCATGTGTCCCACGGGCTGCATCCCTCTGGAGGATGGGGAAGGACCTCTGGAGATGCACTTCAAGTGCTGTGTCCAGTTTTGGGCCCCTCACCTTAAGAAGGACGCTGAGGTGCTGGAGCATGTCCAGCAAAGGGCAGCGAGGCTTGTGGAAGGTCTAGAAAACATGTTTTGTGATGAACAGCTGAGGTAGCTGGGTTTGTTTAATCTGGAGGAAGCTCAGGGGGGACTTTATCACTCTCTACAACTTGTGAAAGGAGGTTGTAGTGAGGTGTCCATCTCTTCTACTGTTCCCTTTTCCGCCTCCCTCCTGACACATTGCTGTGCCCTGTGTTCCCTGTCGTACTTGATGCCAAGTACGGTGTGTTTGGTTTTACAGAGGAGAACCTCAGGAAACCTGCTGGAATATGGACCATGGGCTTGCTGGATTCTTTAAAAAGTTGTGCTCTCTCATCACAGCTTCACTCAGTAGCAGTGGGAAGGTTTCCAGATCAAGCACAGTAAGAGGACAAGAGGAAATGGCCTCAGGTTGAGAGAGGAGACATTCGGATTTAATATTAGAAAAAATTCAATTATATATTGGAAAAAAAAAATCAAACCCAGAAATTAGAAAAAAATTAGAAAAAATACTGTTTGGTTAGTCAGACGTTGGAACTGGTAGTCAGACATTGGGCTGCCCAGACAGCTGGTGGGGTCGCCCCTCCCTGGAGGTGTTGGTGGATGCGGCGCTGGGTGACGTGGTTTAGTGTTTTAGGGGTTCCAGCGGCGGTGCGGGGCGGCCGGTGGGGCTGGATGCTCTCAGACGGTGACTCCGCCGTTCCAATCCCCCCTCGCTCCATCATCTGGCGCGCGGCCTTCTCCTCCCTCCCTCTCCGCGCTGCCGCGCAAGCCACGTGACGCGCGGCCCCGCGTCCGGGTTTGAACGGCGCTTCGCATTTTCCGCTGTCCGGCACGGAGCGACGGACGGGGAGACGCTCGGAAGGTACCGGCCCCGGACTGCCGGGCCCCGCTCGCCGCGGGCACAGGGGCGAGCGCGCCGCCCAGAGCCGACCGCCGCCGGTGGGAGCGGAGGGTGGCGCCGCCGTTAGCCCGCGCGGGGATGGCCGGGTGCAGGAGGCTGCACCCTGAGGAGCGTACTGCGGCGCTCGCGGGCGTGCGGCGGCTTTTTCCACCGCAGGACAGGGCGCGGCTCGTCCGGGTAAAAGGGCGGGCGGTTGTGGGGGAGGGGCGAGTCGGGTTCCCGCGGGCCTCGAAGCGCGAGTGGGGGGAGGCGGCGCTGCTCAGTCATGGTGGCTCATGGCGGGGAGCGCGCCCGGTGCGGGCGGAGGGAGGGAGGCGAGCCCCCGGCGGGGAGCGTGACCTCCGCAGGACTCCCGCGATCGAGTGGCAGATCCGCTGAGGGGACGGGATGCCGGTATACGGGGTGGGAGGATCCCGGCGGAGCGGGGCCGGGGCCGGCTCGGCCCACCGCCCGTTCGGAGGCCCGGCTCGGCCTCTGCCTCGTGGGCCCGAGAGCCGCGGGCGCCCGGGGCGGGCGGGAGCCGCGCCGCCCATTGCCTGCCGCGGTCCGTCGCACGCGGCTGGAGGCGCTTCCGCCCGGGCCGCCCGGAGCACGCGGAGCGCGCGGGTCGGGGAGGCGGTTTGGGAGCTGGAAACGGCCCCTTCCGGCCGGGCCCGCGGTGAGCTCACGCGCTGCCATTTCCCCTGCAGACCCAGCATGGCCGCCCAAGGAGAGCCCCAAGTGCAGTTTAAGGTAAGGGGGTGGTTGGCGGGTTGGGTTCTTTCTTTCGCCTTCAGGAGCGGAGTGGAACGAGCGACTCTCCAGTGCCGACGTGGACGGTAGGTTTGGTTTTGAAGGGCTGGTCTTCCCTTAATGGTGCGTTGTAGCATTGTAGTACTGCATTCAGCTTGTACAAAAAGAGTCTGTTGCGCTGTGTCAGTCTGATGGCTTTGTAGTTTAGTGTAATAAATGTTAATGAATCTTTGCCTGTACAATGATTTTTAAATTTCAGAAGCAGGGTTCACTACAAAAAGCGCTTGAGGTGAATGAGTACAGTCTGCTTTCTATTCTATACTAATTGTTCAGGGAAGAAAACTTAAAATGCTCCAGAAGAGCGTCTTCTGATGTTTTTTGTGGCTGGTGGGTTGGATTTTTTTGTTATCTTAACAACCTGAAGTTCTGAAGACAGCTTCATGAAGGTTGTTACTTGTATTTCCTGCGATGCTTGGCTGGAGTATTCCAGTTGTTAATAGTGCAGATGTTGGTGGGTTGTTGTGGTTTTTTATTATTTTTCTTTTTAATTATAAGGTAACAATGGGGTTTTCCAGTAGGTGTTTAAATTGTTTCCTCTCTAAATCTGGTCACATTCAAGTTGAAAGTTCCAAATATCATTCAGTCACTTTTAGTAGTTTAGTGGAAACAGTGCATTGTAGTTTTCACCTACAGGGACTAAGTAAGACTGACTAGAGTTGCAGCATGATGGGCTTAACAAATTGGTTCCCAGTTCGTGGATTTGCTTCATGGGAAATTCAGCCTTTTGTTTTTTATGATCGTGTAGTACTGAGGCCCTTGTAGTAATAATTAGCATTTGTGCTAAAATGACTGATAAATGTCTCAAAGTGTATTGCTCTGACTTATTTCCTTTATCTACCAACAGCTTGTCCTGGTTGGTGATGGTGGCACTGGTAAAACAACGTTTGTAAAACGTCATTTGACTGGTGAATTTGAAAAGAAGTATGTAGGTATGTCTGAGGAAACGTTTGAGATCTGCTTTGTCACAAATGGAAGTGCAGCCCATGACTTGCTGAGTGTTCTGCTTTTTGTTATTTCTGTAGCAACTCTGGGTGTTGAAGTTCATCCCCTGGTGTTCCATACTAACAGAGGCCCTATTAAATTTAATGTATGGGACACAGCTGGGCAGGAGAAGTTTGGTGGCCTGCGTGATGGCTATTACATTCAAGGTAAGATGTGTGTTTGTGTGGGAGTATTCTCTCCCTCTTACAGTTCACTCCTTCATTCTGTTCATGTGAACCAGTCTGGAAGCTGTCAGTGTGGCTTGCAGTGAGGGGCTGGGTTAGCAGTCTTCACACTCTTGGTGTAACTAGGATAATTTTTGTTTCTAAAGGCAACTTGAGTGAATGTGGGAACACGCCAAGATTGTGTTCCAGTGTGCTGTTGTGGGCTTTGGTGTTAATGAAAGTGCACCTTTAATGACTAGATACTGCTGGTGAAGTGTGGTGGTTAAGAGGTGAAAGTGTTGAAGTTGAAACTTCATTTAGTACAGATTTATATGTGTACTGCTGTACTGTGCTAAGGAAAAGACTTGGAACACAGAAACTCTAAGATTTTAGATACAGTGAGGAAGCTGAACATCATGCCAGAATTTACTTGCTTTTCTAAACAAGTATGATAGCATTCCTTACTCTATGTGTACTTCACCTGCATACCTTTAAAATTTTACAAGGTATTATTTGAGTTTGACATTGCTTTTCCTTTTAAAGTATCAGAATGAAATCAAGCCCCCATGTTCTTCGAGAAATGCTCTGGGCAAGGGCATCCTGAGGTGTGGACCACAAGCTCTCAAACTACTTCAAAGCCTCATTAGGTTGTCTGAGATTAGTGAAATAGGTGTTGACTAATTTCTTGTGTAAATCCAAGTTCTGTCATCTTATGTATTTTATGATGCAACACCACGTACCTCAGAAGTGGGACTGAGTTGGTAAAACCAGCTGGGGTGGGAGGTGACGTGGTCACGGCCCAAGTTCTGTGGGCTTGTGCATTGAACTCATTCATAGAACAGGGGCTGTCAGAACTGTGACACCGAGAGGGAAAAGATAATGCAGATGCTTAACCCTAGTGTGGGATCTCTGAGGGTACCTCTGTCCCATTGGGTAAGCAGGTGATCTCTCCTGATGTAACTGGCCTGTTGTTCTCTTGCAGCTCAGTGTGCCATCATAATGTTTGATGTAACATCAAGAGTTACTTACAAGAATGTACCTAATTGGCACAGAGATCTGGTACGAGTATGTGAAAATATCCCTATAGTGTTGTGTGGCAACAAAGTGGATATTAAGGACAGAAAAGTCAAGGCAAAATCCATTGTCTTCCATAGGAAGAAGAATCTCCAGGTAAGTTGGTATGAGTTTGTAGGAACCACATTGGTTGGGTCTGTTGAGTGCAGTTGGGTTCTAGAGAGTAATCGAGTGCTCTGCCTTTGTCACTACAGGCAGCTTCACATCTCTTGGCTGTTTGAACCAAACCTCAGGAAAAGGGGAAATGATGGTGTTAAAGATGATCATCACTGGCCTTGAGCAGGAGCTGTGATGTTCTTAAAGAGCTTGTGTGCAATTGGCTTTCACTGCTCAGAATCTCATCTGATGACAGAAGGGAGACTGAAGTAGATCAAGTCACAGGAAAAAGATAGAGGCACTGTTGCCTCCTGAAGGTTCCATCTTTTAAAAGATGCAATGCCTTTAGTTACCAGTTTCTGCCTGAAACTGTTTCTAGACACTTAGATCATACTGTTTATGGAAGTGCAAACAGAAGTCATGCAGTCAAAAAAAGTAAGGTAAAAGTAGAGTTGACTATGTGTGTTAATCTTGGTATGGCCTAAATATTAGTCAGAGGGGTTTCTTAATAATGTATAATATGTCCTTTTTTCAGTATTATGACATTTCAGCTAAGAGTAACTACAACTTTGAGAAGCCTTTCCTGTGGCTTGCTAGAAAGCTAATTGGAGATCCTAACTTGGAGTTTGTGGCCATGCCTGCGCTCGCACCACCTGAAGTTGTCATGGACCCAGCACTGGCAGCACAGTATGAGCAAGACTTACAGGTCAGTGAGAAAGGGCACAGAGGTAGAACTGCTGCCTGATAACTGGTGTTCAGACTCCTGGGGCAAAGAATTGAAGAATAGTTCTTAAGTGTAACTTCTCTTTGTTCCAGATTGCTCAGACCACTGCACTGCCAGATGAAGATGATGACCTGTGAGGGATGAAGCTGGAGCCCAGCGTCAGAAGTCTAGTTTTATAGGCAACTGTCCTGTGATGTCAGTGGTGCAGCGTGTTTGCCACTTTATTATCTAGCTGAGCAGAACATGTGCTTAATCTTTGGGATGCTGAAAGAGATGAATGGGCTTCGGAGTGAATGTGGCAGTTTAAAAAAAAAAAACAAAACAAAAACAAAAAAACAAAAATGAAAAAAAAAACCAAAACAAACTTCATATTTTGGACCTGCATATTTAGCTGTTTTATGGACTGCAATTACTTCCCCTTTTGAGTTTCAAATATAAGACTGCTGCAGTCACATCAGAGTGTTAAGTGGAAAATCCTGTTTCTGTCATTCCCATTCTTTTTTGTTTAGATAATAAAGTTGTATTTCAAGTATCTCTAAGCAAGTGAACTTTCATGCATTGTTAGGAAAACTCTTTCAAAGTGTCTTCTGTTCTTCAGTTGAGGCTAATACTTGGTTGTCTACTGCATTTCTCAGTCTCTGTTTTCCTTCCTGCTTCTTGTATTATGCTCCTCTTGCTAAATCAGAGCTAACAGTTAACCTTTCCTTTATTTCTTGATGCATATAACTGAAGCATCTGAGGAAAGCTGAACTAACTGCCAGGCAAAACTAAAGCAGTGAGCACTTGTCTGGTGTGACTGGATCAGCATTCCCAGCAAATGGGAATGTTCGTGGTCTGCAGGGTGTCTGGAGAGCAAAGTGTGTGGTTCAGCTTGAATGTGCTACAATTAGATACAGTCTCAACTCTCACTGTTACTATGTTCTACAAGCTACCTTCAGAGCTCTGTATTTTTGGCAGCCAGAAGCAAATGGCGTCCGGGTCTCTTAGGTGACTTAAGCTGTGTTTTTGCATGGAACATCATTCAGTAGAGCTATAGCTGGCTAAACAAACTCTAAGCATCTTAAAATTCACTAACTAGAAAACATGGTTTGAGCTGAAAAGCTCTTGCCTACAAAACTGTATTAACTAAAGCCATGTTGATTTAAATATCTAGACTTTACTGTAACTGCACCAAGTTCTTAATTTGAAACTGGCTTATTACAGCACAAATGGTGGAAAATGTCAACTTTTAACACTACCTTGTAGACATGAATCTTGGTCAATATTAGTACTGCTAGTAAACAAAACTAAGTTACCATTTTTTCAGTAGTGTTTGAGTACATGAAGCCTTGAACTCTTCAGTTTTGTATTTTTGGTTTCTTAATAAAGTGGAGCATTTCATTTATTCCTTTTAACTTGCATGTTTGTGTACATAACTCTTACTTGAATATTTAATTTTTGCAACCTGGTAGCAAAAAGTGTGGACTGCAGTTATTACTTGTGCAACACTGCTGGAAAGGAATCTTTTTAAGTTAGTTCAAGGTGGAGTTCTGTGGGTTTGGACTTGTTCTTTGTTTTTTGGTTTTTTTGTTTTTTTTTTAGCTAGTCAGTCAGAAGCTGAGTTGTGTGTGTTTAGGACCTGAACCTCATTGTTGATGAAAATGAGGAATGTTGTACACGTGGTGTTTGTAAAGGGACAAAGATTCAATGTTTTGCTGAACTGCTGCATCATCCTGCTTTAACTTCATGTTGTAGGTTCTTGCCTGTAGTCTTACTAATTACCTGTGCATATCTTGGTTAATCCTGCTGGCTTGGCTGCTGCTGCTTTACTAGGTGTGGTAGCTTTTTTTGTCTTCAAGCTGTCTCACTTCTGGAAATGTACTGCTTAAAAACACAAAATAGAAAACTTCAGTAGTGCCTCAGCATTGATATGCTTTAAGAAGAAAAACCAGCAGCACTGAAGTTACATTTTTATTGTTTCATAGTGTGTATGTGGTGTTATCTTTACAGCTCACCTGCTTAACACAGGGACTGCCCTTAGCATGAATTCCTGCGGAACAACTGGAAAGGTGAAATAGCTGTTAAAATCTGGTACAACTGCTGGGAGCTTTAATCTTCAGGGCTACTTTCAAGTCCAGAAAAATTCGGGTCTGATGTAGGCAGGAATGCTCATCCTGCTGTAAAGGAGTCTTTTCAACTTGCAACTTGGGAGTGGAGTTAAGCCCACTTGCAGCATTTTTATGTTTAGTCCCTGGTAATTGTTGATTATAAATAATGCATGTAGCCTTAAATGCACGTGCAGATTCCTCAGTTGAAGTTCCTTAACTATCACCCTTCTAAGGAAGTTTTCACTTGGGTTTAGGCAATTCAAAATTTTACCTGTTAAGTAACGAGGAAAATAAAACTCGTGTTCTGAGAACCTCTACTATGCAGTCACATGAGCCTGTTGGAGCTCTACCAGTGGCAGGACTGAGTGATGAGTGGAAATCCTTGGGATACCTGCTGTGTTGCACTTGATTGCCTGACTGTTGAGTCAGTTAATTGTAGGAGTTTTTGTATTCCTACACCGGGTAAGCTTTTTCACAATAAAACCTCTGCTTTCAGATTGGTTTTAGGGAACTTGTCAGGACAGACCGTGCTCAGCTGGAACTCAGAAGCTGGAAGTGGTGCTGGGCCATTTACTGTTCCTGGTTCTGTGACTGTTGGGGATGGTCCTGGGCAGGGCTAAGGGTTGGACTCGATGATCCTTGTGGGTCTTTTCCAACTCAGCATATTCCATGTGATACAAAGCTGGGAGTTCTCAAGCCCAGGGGGTTGTATCAGAAGAGTAGTCGGAGAACTAGAGAACGTGCAAAACAGTTAAGGCAAAGGCATCAATTCAGGAAACTGGCAGAGGAAATGTGCTGGTTACTGAACCTTGAAATGAAGGAGAGTTAAAGTCCTCCTTAGGAACACCAGGGGTGCCCTTGGATCTCAGGATTCCAGCACAGAATCTTTCTTTTTTTTTTTTAGAGATGCTGGGGGACACTTCTCTGCAGCCCTGGAAATCAGTGTGCCGGGAGGGCTGGAGTCGAGTTACAAGGCAACAAACTTTGTCTTTTCCCTGTAGAAATTGGTTTGTTGTGTTGCTCATACAGTCAATCTAAACCAGTGGAGAGACCTGTGCTGAGATAAACTTCTACCCTCACCTTCCTGAAACAGTTTGCACAGTTTGAAGCCAATTTTTTTCCTGCTCTGGACTGGAGGTACTGGTCGCTCCCTCACCTGAGTTTTGGCAAGCTGGTTGGCCCTCTTAAGCCAGGAGTGATGGCAATATCCTACAGGTAACTGAGACAATAAACCTGCACCTTTGATCAGTCTGTTTTCACCAGGCTGTGTTAATTTACAGGCTGGCTTTGTGTGTATGTGTTGACTTTTGGGCTGAGCTGAAAAGTTTGCCTTTAAGGATCTATTTTTGAGTACAAGCTGCTGTATGAGCATCCTGTGAAGGAGTTCTTGGTCATCTCTGCCAGTGGCCAAGGTTGGAGACACTTTGAGCTGAGAACTTGTGTTGGGAGAACATGAATGACTGTGCTTGTCCCAGCCAGGAGCTTTTTTGGATAACAGACTTAGTGGGACTTACTGATGAGCCCAAACCACAGTGTCCTTATTTATCTAGTTATTCAATAATCATAGGAATGTTGACACATAAAACATATTATTTATGCTCTAGCACAACCTAAACCTTGGGTTACAGATTTGAGTGTACAAGGCAAACAGTTTTAATTGGGTTGTGTGGGTAATTATCTTCTAGTTCACAGAGTGAACAGAATGTTCAGTGAGTAAATGACACTTCCCCCAAATTCCAGTGTTCCACAAGCTGCACCACTGAAACAGGCCATTGTTCATATTAGGGCACTAGTTCAGTATAGGAATAGGCTGCTTGATTTTTATTTTTATTTTGAATGGTAAAGTGTTTGTCTGTTTTGCTGTGAGCCTGGAATACTGTGATTAAAAGAATCAGGTTCCCATATTTCTACTTTCTTGAAGGAAAAAAAATTGAGACAAATTTCCTCAATAATATTATAAACAAAATGTCATATTTTGTAGTAACATTAACAGAAATTTTAATGTTTGATCCACAATCTCTGAAATCATGGTTTTTAATCTTTAGTGCAAGCATTCAAAATTGAATGTTACCAATACAGTTCCAGGTTACTAGGAGGCAATGGCAGGTTACTTGCAGTTGCCTGTTTCCATGTAGAGATTTTATGAACAAAGACTGAAAAGGGCAACTAAACCAAAAACTAACTGCAAAGTAAATGGTCATAAGCAAGGAGCTCCTAAAGTTGTGGTGATCAATAACATCTAAGGAAACCTTACCCAGTGTCCTTCCTCCTATGATTGTTGGAGACAAAGCCACTGATGATACTCTGGAAGCATCAGGATCTTTCATGATGCAACTATTTAAGTCTTCTGTACAAAGTGTTAAGCCAAAGACAGCAAATCAAGTGGTTAATAAATGGTCCTTGTTTGTGTTGAACTTCTTTTTCAGGTAAGAGTTTGCAGGTAAGAGTACTGCAGTCTGATTGCCCAGTAGTGATTATTACAATTCCCATTGCTCCTGCTGTATAAGCTTTTCACTGCACAAACCCAGTGATGACCTTTTCCCAACTTGGTGGCTTTCAGAAATAGTACTGGTGGGGAGCAGCGTGTCAGACTTTTTCAATTGATTACATCATTAAAAAAAACCCCAAAATTGTGAAAATTTCTGAGTCTTGTGGTGGGTTTGCAGGGCAAGTATTTAGGGAAAGAGGTCAAGCCACAGAAGTTTGTTGCATTTGGAAATTAAAAGGTGGGTTGTAACTAACACAAAATCTGCAATTTTTGTCTTTTGATTCTGGATGTAGGATTTTTGCTTCTTACTTGTACCTGCGTGCTTTGTTTTGTTTGAATACCTAAACTGAGGCCTAGTTATAAAACTTCCTTCAAACTGTAGCAGATGAGTTCAGTAATTCTGCAAAGTTTACATGTAAAAGAACTATCTGAGACACACCACCTGCCAGTCAGAAGTGCAGTTTCTCCCAGCTGATGCGAGGCTTAAACCAAGTGAGAGCCGTTCTTAGCTCACCAGCTGAACACTTCTGATATTGCTTTACAACATCTTTGTCGTGGAGATCGAGCGGTCACCGTATAATTCTTTTTTTTTTTTTCCTGCTGGCAAGTGGGCTGTATCCCCTGAGAACGCGGGGGGATTCCCGGCTGGAATGGGATTCCCGGCTGGAATGGGATTCCCAGGAGAGCCGAGCCGGAGATGGATTTTGCAGTACCAGGTTCGGCCACGCGGTGGCACAAACCGCCCGCCCAGCGGCTTTTAGTCCCATTTAATAAATAGACTTTTTTCTTTAAGTTATCTCACATTCTCGGTGGATTTACACCAAGACCGTGAATAGGAAGAGGATTTTTTTTTTCCATCCTAATGCTGTTAGCATTGCCATCGTGTTCTTTCTTATTTTTTCCCAGATTTAAGCTAAAAAAAATGTTATGATCAGAGCTTACTATATAGAGCCTTGATAATTGA